GACTATCAGAAACATTAAGCAATCTGGTCAAAATTCATTCATTAAAAAAGTCATCCAGAAAAAAAAATCAAATTTAGGTTCTTCTAGTCGTCTGGCCCAACCAACCAACCATTTTTTTTTTAATACTAGAATGTACTTGAGCCTGCACTTCATAAATCTCCTTTTGCTTCTTCCTTAAGTTGAGCCAGTCGCGAATCAACCTCAGGCCCGTTACGTTGTGAAGGGACGCATAGCCAGCTTCGCAAGCATCCTTTTTTTTTTTTTGGTGGGGGGAATAATTCCTCAGCCTTTTTTTCCCCCGTGAATGCATGGAAAGCTGATGGTCCCATGATAATAGTAGTAGTTTCTTTTCATGTAAGACACACATCAATTAGGAAATCAAGCAGTATGATAGAAAAATAAACTAAAACGGGAAAGCCGAGGGAATTTTCTTCTTTCACTACTTTAGTTTGCTTCGTCAGTGAAAAAGATTGATTCTTTCTTCTTTAATTAGTTTTTTTTTTTTCCTTTTCTTTCTGGTAATGTTAATTTATGTTGACCGACATAAACCATCAATATGTTTTTTTTGTTGTCCTATCATATGTCGATTATCAAAATTGCAGGAGTATTGATTTTCTAAAACCTTTTTTCTCCCTTTCTTGAGAAACTAGCAATATTGTAGGTATACCTGTTTTGCTTTAACCATAATTTGCTCGTATTAACATAGAATCTGGTCTAAGTCACTGCGATCTGTGATCTCATTAACTCTCTATTCTTGAATAATCCGCGATGATTTCCCAAATGCCCCCTTAATCTTTCACGTGCGCACAAACATACACACCCATATACACAAAACACGCGCGCGCATACACACACACACAGACTAGTGTTGAGAGCATACCCAATGTGTGTGCAATTAGGAAATAATTAAAATGAATTAATTTTGTATAAATTTTTATTGTTACATACAAAAAATTTGGTTTATATGCTTATAGTAGTAATTTGGTAGTTACAATATTTAGCATGATTATGAGTGGTTATATTGACAAAATGTGATTAAGTGATTAAGGTAAAAATTAATTTTTATAAGGATAAAATTGAAAGTTTAAAAGATGACAGAAAGAAGAATTTACACCATCTGTCATTACTCAGGCATTATATATTATGTGTGCGCGTGTGTATATGTTGAGAATCACATTTATTTAATGAAACAAATCACCGTATTAGTGCCTTCTACTTTTATAGGTAACAAACATTAACCTAATTAATCACGGTAGACTAAGTTCATTGCTTTTATGCTAAGGGGGTTTTCTCTTCAGCTCTAAAGCGGAAACTTGTAAATAACACATATTACAAGGTAATAAGAAAGCTTATTATGGAAATTCGATAGTTGCGGACAAGGAGAAAAAGGAAATGAAAAGCAAGGATGAATATGTACGTTGGCATTTCGACTCATGTAGTAACATATCTATAATTTATGTATTCGTACTATGAGACGACAAAATTGTATGTGGTATGTGCTAATCAACTTTGTATAAAGCCAAAACTCATTCATCCAGAACATTGTTCATATCATATACGTACTAGCTAGTAGCAAAGTGCAAAAGCAGAGGCTGTTGTAGCTACAACTTATTCAAGCACAAATTCTCATCGTCCTTGTTGATGAAGATCCTTCTTGCCATCATCTTCTTGTCATCAGTCCTGCTGCAAAAATCAGGTAAATAATAGTGTAGTATCACTTACGGGGGTTTTAGAAACCCGCGTATGCGTACATTTATATTCTCGAGGAATCCAAGATTGCATTAAAATGTAGTAACTAGACAGCTTTCTGATTTAAGTAAATTAAGGCAGAAGAATGAACTCGTCCCACCCTTTCTGATATTGTTAGATCCATGTTTTTAATTAACTAGCTATTTATTTAAATATGTGGTCCTCATTGGATGGATTGGAGTCTGATGGGTAGATGGACAGAGAGAGGACTGGTGCATATCGGACGAGCAATATCCGGATGAAGAGTTGCAGAAGGCCATGGAATGGGCTTGTCACAACGGAGCAAACTGCGACAGCCTACAGCCAAACAGACCCTGCTTCCTTCCCAGTACGATCAGGGACCATGCTTCCTACGCATTCAACAGCTACTATCAGAACATGAAACACAAAGGAGCCAGTTGTTACTTCCTTGGTGCTGCAGTTTTAACTGCCCTTAATCCAAGTAAGCCTGCTTTTTACTTGGCATTGTATCACCGTCTGATGTTTGGAGCACAATCTGAGATTTCTTTTATGGCTACGTTAACTCAACTCTGTATCCAGAGTTCAGACAAAGCCTCGTTAACATAAGCATCTTCAATCCAAGAAAATTACTAGACAAAAAAAAAAAAAAGTATCTTGAAGTCCTCGAGTCTGTGGTCCTAATTGTGTGGTTGGCAGATTAGTGAATAAGTGATGGTGGCTTGAAGTTGAAGAACCAGCAGATCTTAAGTCTTTTTTTTTTCTCTTTTCCCACAGCTAATTAAGCTAGCTGCTCAATCATCAATGCGTCTTCACATACTACATACTGATACAGAGTAGTTAGTGTATAACCAACCCCATATCAGATTACTTGCTTTTTAAGTTCTTTTTTTTTCCGTCATTTCTCATACAGATCCAGGTTTGTCCACGAACCGGGCAAACAATAGTAAGAAACAGGGAAATTTGCCAAATTGGTCTCTTATATTTAAAAAAAAAAAAAACTTTTTTAGTCCCTCCAATTTAAAATCAGGTATAATAGTCCCTCAGATATAAAAAAGTTTGCCCAAAACTCATTTTCGTTCAGTTCTCTGGCCAAAAAAACGCATACCTCCTTTACGTGCTAAACCAAGATGTAAAAAAGAAAAAGAAAAAAGTAAAGATAAGAAAGGCGGTGGGATTGGATCAAAGCAGAATAGCCACATTATGAAAGAAGTATAATCATAAACTGTAGCGTTCTAGTCTTTAATCTGTTACTCAGATTTATTCGGTCAAACTGAGATTCCTGTTGGGGATTTTACATCGGCAGGCCACGGTTCGTGCAAGTTTGAGACGCTTCCCTGAACAGAATTGCTGAAGACATTATTCATCTGGGAGATCAATCAGGTCTTTTTATCATATACGAGTTACGGAGAGAGTTTGAATGAATGTAAACAATGTCCAAAGTAAGACCTGGATGTGCATGTTTACAACCCTTTTCCATTTCCACTTTTATAGCTCCTTTGTCATTTGAATGTGATCCTAATTTATGATTCATCAAAAGTGTATTTATTTTGGCCCACAGCTGTTCTTCAAAAGCTGAGTTCCATTCATAATTTGGGCCTCCACTCCAGGCTCCCGTGTGTCAACAGCATCATGTCAGCCTGCATTTTAGTCCAAAACACATGGGCTGAGATTGACCCAAAAGACGTACTAACAGTACTGGTTGATGAGATGGAGGATTAGCCATATCTATAAAAGTAACAAATACCTACGAGTAAATATTATATACACTGACTGACAGTATATACATTATCACTACCGTTGGATTCATGACATGATTGCAAAAGTTAAGTTTTAAATTCAAATTTTTGCATAGTTGTCATTCATCCAACGTTAACAGTGTATAATAATGATGTATATACTATCAGTGTAGTAGGAAAGATTAATCCAATACTTATCCCATGTCCCAGTAATACTAGTATTAGTTGGCTTGCCTGGGAGGGAGAAATTGCAATTTGCGTTTTCTGGAGTTAATGTGATGTCCAGATATGAATGACACAGACTACAAAGTCAAAAATCTAGGCATTGAATTTGAAGGTGGTCAAGTCGTGAGCTGTTGCCTGTAACTATCCATGCTACTAATAAGTAAAGGTAAGGACCACCTGACCTGGGCTGTTAGCCCTATATCATGATCGTAGGGATGGAAGCAGACGATCAAGATCAAGGAGGAGGAATGGAGGAGTCACTAGTCAGTAGAGGAGGAGGACTGGTACAAATCACAAAGATGAGATAAGGAGGAGGAATGGAGAGATGACAACAATAATGCTCATGGCTAATGCTTATCATATAATAATATTCACGTGCCACAATCCCTGTAGAGTACTAATTCTCAATGTGACATATCCATCAAACTTACTTCATCCTATCTATCCCCAAACTATTGGAATTGAAATGCGAGACCAATTTTCGTATCATCACCGTCATCAATCAATTCGACACGCATTCCAATTTCTTCTATTTACTGGGAATGAGCCCGAAATACTACGTGATGCTACAAACAAGCCTATCCTATTTTTAAGTCAAAATTTTATTAATTTTATGCGGTAATAAAGAATTACTAATGGATGTTAGGCCAAAACCAAGTACAGAGTTGGCGAGGCCAACAGCCTTGCCCTTTTGGTTTGATCGTTACCATCAAAATTTCGAAGTCTTGATTGTGATGATGAGAGGTTAAGGGTTCGAATCTTGTCTCTCACTAGTTATTATTTGTGGCTTCCTCCTCCTTTTATTTTCTATTAGATTAGAATAAAGTATATTATATAAATGTTATCGTTAAAAAAAAAAAAAAAAAACTAGTACGGAGTTGGTGGGTGCAGTGAAATGCTGCAAATGCAAGTGCAACAAGGTAGTTGGGTTGTACCTAACTAGCTTATATGGTGATAGCAGTAAATCCAGTTTGTTCACTTTCTATGAGCGTCATAATTAATTACAGTGGAATGTTTAATCAACCTAGTCATGATACGCTTGTAGTGAATGGACAAGCGCACTTGGCTTTATTGATTTTCTTTGATCAAAGAAGCATCAACACGGGAAAATATAGATTGCAGAACCGGCCATCAAAGGCCCACCACCTTGAAAAGCAACTTCAACAACTCTTAACCTTTTTAAGCCCCTTTTAACACATAATTTTAGATTTGAGATTTGCACCGGATGATAATTCATAATGGTAAGATGAATAATTTGATACTATTTGATGTCCCTTTGTACAGTGCGCATCAAGTCATGGGTCACCATTAATTCCACCCACACCTTCCTGCGATCAGGCCATTAAAGACACGCCTCTCCCTCACCCTTATCTCTCGTCCTTGGGACCAAAAAACCACTGCCCTTCCCAGAAACCAAAAGTAATCCAAAATCTTGAGCTTTATTTTTTTCCACCCCTTCCTTAAATGCTGTCCCAGATGTCAGAATTACCTCACAGTCAATGCTAACTTAGCTTCAATTTAATGCATCCTGTGCGTTTGAGGTGAAGGCCGAGGAGTTAGACTAGCCCTTTTCATCATTTTTACACATGGCAAATCCTAGCCTTGTTACGCATTCTTGATGCTTCCTTGCTTCTATTTAAGTGGTGGATAGGACGCGAGCGGAGTTCGTGTCTTTCTATTCTTTTTGGGGGAACTACCAGCTCGCGAGTCCCTGATAGGCTTCTCTGCTTGACCTGGTTGGTGTAATTAGAAATTTGCACAATGAGTTACTTGGGTGTAGGAGTGAGTCCTGGAATGTTCCTGTTTACCATGGGAGCAATTTGAAGGTGGTTGATAGGAGGGTGAGGATTGCTGAATTGGTTTTGAGGTGTTTAATTTGTGGCCTGGCTGTTCTTGCTGCTGTTCTAATTGGGACTGACACTCAAGTCAAAGAAATATTCACCATCAAGAAGGAAGCTAAGTTCACGGAGATGAAAGCTCTTGTGTAAGATTGCCTTCCTTTTATTAGTATATCTGAACTACACCTTGAATAGTAAGTAGTAGTATTTCTGGCTTTGTTTCTGCAAAAGAGTTGAGTTTGCCTTTGCTGTGGCAGCTTTCTGGTAATAGCCACTGGGATTGCTGCTGCCTACTCATTTGTCCAAGTTCTAAGGTGTATTACAAGTATGATCAGGGGCAATGTGCTCTTCAACAAGCCCTTGGCTTGGGCTATTTTCTCTGGAGATCAAGTATGTAGTTTTCTGATTTCCTTCTTCGGTTTTGTTTATGTAGCAAGGGCTTTCACTTGTCATGCATGCTTGCACATACTTAGCTGATTCCTCGCCCATTAATCATGATTGCTTACTCCTAATTGTAAGAACTATTTTTTCAGAAACCTGAAGCTCTCAAAAATCCCCAACACTACTATTGGTCTATAATAACGGGACCTCTTCCTTCCTAAGGCCTCGTTTCATAATCCAATTTAGCATTTAATGTATTCATATTTTAACATATTCAGACACATTTGATTGATAAGCAAAACATATAACATCTTAAGGCACTAAATTTAACTTATTCCATAAGATGAGTCACTCATCACTTAATCCAAAATCTGTTCAAATGTCAAGATTTAAAACTCAACAATTCAGTAACTTAATATATTGGACCTAGATTTCAATTTTTTTATTTCAGTTTTATTAAGCGCACCCCGAGTAAAAATGGTGCTACATACGCACCTAGAAATTATTCATGTTTGGTACCATATTATGGTCTTGACTGGTTTTAAAGTGGGCAGACTTTGTCAAGGAGTTAAACAAAGTAGTTGTTTTGGCTCATTAAAGCTAGATACCGCAGCATTAGCATTATCACCACCAAACACTGCATCCATCATAACTCATCGTGGACCCTTTTTAAGTCCTTTAGATTACATACAAATAAAAAGAGAGAGTTGGGGTTCACCAAAGATGTTGCCTGGTACCTACTTGCACAGGTGGAGACTCTTAGATGAAGACATCTATCGAAATTATTAATGGCTCTTCACAGCTCATGACTTCTTGTAGCCTTTCAGAAATCAGACTGGCCTATAGTAAATGCTGTTTGCAGTGAATTTAAAGTCCATTCAGATAGGAGATGTAGAGGTGTAAAGTTTCATAGTTCATAACTCATTACAGAACTCTTTTCCACCAAAAGCTGTACTAGTAAAGAGAAATCTGATCAACAAGGTCCTTAAAACACATTCTGCGGCAAGGAAAAAGCAGAGCACAGTTCTTATTAATTCAAATGATAAAGACGGACCTACAACATCAAGTACATTGACTTCTCAACAGAACCACCGTGAATGGTTCACCTTTTCAAATAAAAAATGAAAGGAATGACTGAAATCACGTTAATATGCATCATGAAAGATGCAGACTAGTCTGGAACAATTTTTGCTTCTTTGATGCACTTGATTTCGCGGTCTTATAACCAATCGTATCATGGGCTCATTTGTGCAGCTGATGGCTTACCTGAGTCTGGCGGCGGTGGCGGCGGCAGCACAATCTGCTGTGTTTGCCAAGCTGGGGCAGACTGAGTTACAATGGATGAAGATATGTAATATGTACGGGAAGTACTGCAACCAAGTAGGGGAGGGGATAGCCAGTGCACTGATGGTTAGTCTTAGTATGGTGGTTTTATCTGGCATCTCAGCTTTTAGTCTCTTCCGTTTGTACGGAGAGAACAAGGGAAAGAACAGTTCAAGATGGTAGACAGACTGGGCTGAATTATGTCATCAGCTCATGGTACATGATCCTGCTGGATCTTCACTGTGACCCTTTTAAGCATCATATATGTGTAACCTGGTGGACTTTCTTTCTTCCTGTAAAATAAAAACAAACACCTGCTTTTTGTGGGATCTTCTATGTTCTGTCGCTGCTGCTTCTTGCACTAAAACGAAATTCACTGTTCTATTCATACAATAGCATGCTAGGCTTAAATTTGTTCGAGTCCAGACACTCCTTTGAGGTATATGGGTGTGCAACTGGTGATATAAAATTGGCTTTTACTGAACTTTCAGACTTTTAACTGATTTTTTTTTTTTTTTTAAATCTAGTTGTTGTTAGCCAAACATTCGTTGCTTTGCAAGAAGATTGTGATACCTGCGGCCTTGATCCGCGACCTCTCTGCAATGCATTTCTAGTGTAACATTTTGCCATTCTATAATATAGAACAATAAACAAGAGATCTGTATTTTGATCAAGAAAGTGGAATTTCTTGCCCATTCCATTGGGAAGGGAAGCAGTTTTACGACAATTTGAGAGTGTGATCTTAGGAAAGTAGAGGATGTTGGTGTTGTCCGAGGCAAAAGGCAAAGCATTTCTTCCCAAGGTCAGCCAGTGTGCAATGCATTGTCAAGTAGTGTGCCATTCCAGATTTGCTTAGAATACTGAGTCCTGGTTAGGAGTGTTTGGTGCCCTACCATGAAATCAATTATATCCTCCGTAAAATTCTCACAAATCCATATTATATCCTCCGATCGGATCCGTATATGGGTCGAATATACCCAGCAAAAAAATGAGGAAAATATCTTTCTAAAAAACATTAATTACACACCACAATCTCGATTAAAAATCACAAATTACTTTAGATAATTATTCTGAGGTCTACAAATTAAGGCGCAAACAAATATTAAATATTCAAATATATTATCAAAGCAATTACCTATTCAAACACGGGTCTGGGTAAACGAAATTGTCGAAAATATTGAGCGGGTTCGGTCGGGTCTGGTCTGAACCCCCATCCGTTGACAAGCTCCGGCCTCAAACAATCCCCCTCTCTCTCTCTCTCTCTCTCTCTCCCCCTATAGGCTATAACAAGTCGTAATTGAATTCTACTACTAATAAATAAATATATATAAAGAAAAAAAGCCAAAACAAAACAAAACGAAGAATTTTCTTTCAAAGAAAGGAAAAAATGTCGTCGGAGAAGTTCTCGGCGACGCTGCGGATAGGCGACTTGAATGATTATATCGCGCCATCTCAGGGCTGCGTTGTTTCTCTAAAGGCTAATTCCAATCCTAATCCCAATACTCCTCCTACTTCCTCTTCCAGGCTCGATAAATTTTATGCTGAGGTGAATTACTTTTTTTTTTTTTGGCTAAACCTTTTTTCTAGTGGAATTTCTTGCTGAGTTCTGGATAATTATGCATTAGGGCTTACTTACACATTTTAATTTCAGCTCCTATGTTTGTCGAACTGTTAAAGTCTTCATATTTTCCCAGCTATCTTAGTTAATTTCGAATATGTTTCTTCTTTTTGAGAAAATTCTCGCCCGACGAAAACATTTGCTGGTTCATTCGTATGGTTATTTTAAACAAGTTGTGGGTTTTGGTATCGGAGTTATATTGGGTTTTTGGTGTAGGAATTATAAAGGAGCAGCCTTTTCCTTGTTTTCTACCTGGAGTACTATTACCTAATTTAATTTTGCTAGGTTTTTGAGATTGCTATTAAAAGAATAGAGACGTTTTTCTCTTACGTGATTCTGTAATCGGGATATGACCTTAGCTTTGCTTTATTCTTAAAGTTTCATTCTTGTGAGAGTAATTCTCGTTATTGCTACTTGGGCAGAACCCTGCGACACTTGGGAAAGCTGTCAAGCCAGTGGAAACTGAACCGTAAAAATTTCCCTCAAGGACTGTCTAGCTTGCAGGTATTATTCTTTCTCCACCTTGTCAATTTTCTCCCCTTTCATCCTTTGAACTTCATTTTGAAATTTCCATATACCTATAGCAAGAGAGACGCATCCGTATTCTTTTCTTGTATGTCGAATCTGGGATTAGTGCCTTACATTGCCAGCATTACACATAGTCTTCACATTGCTGAATGTGTATGGTAACAATGGCATGATAATAAATGCCAATTTAAGGATAATAATGGTGTAGGTTTTAGGTCCTCATTGTGCATACAGAATGTCTGTTTATCACTTTTTCTAGTTGTTGAGATGAACATTTGACATGTTAGTGTAGACAATTAATAAGTTTCAACAGAATTGTGGTGACTGAACATGTATAGATCCATTTTTGGACTGACAACAATACTGAAGTTTTGCTTTTACCTCCCCTGCCAATTCTGTTTTCTTGGTTGGTAAATCTCTAACTATAGGTTCATAACGATACTTATCACTCTCTTGCTCTCTCAGGTTTGACAGTTATCATGATTCTTATACGAAAGCTAAAAAAAAAAAAAGGTTGTCAGGAACTATTGTGCGCATGTTGATTTTGCAGTGGGTGCATAACCTCGGCTGAGACTGTGATGCTTGAGAAGCAGAGCTTAGATGAGTTTCTTTCTAGTATCAATAAAGGAAAGGCTGTCATTGTCTCTGTGTCTCCCCAGTCTAGAGCCTCTCTTGCTGTTCATTTTGGCCTTTCTCCACTTCAGGTAGGCTTATTTTCATAGGTATTGTCTTGAATAGCAAACTAAATGAGGTTTTCAACTTTGCGTTATATTCTTATAATGGCTCTAAATGCCTGTGACAGTCCTTGTGTTTCAATACAGGTTTTCAAAAAGCTGACAACATTATTTAAAACATTGGAGTGAAGGCTGTTTTTGATACCAGCTGCAGCCGGGACTTAACGCTTATTGAATCTTGTTATGAATTCATAACTAGATATAGACAATGTCATTTGACTACTGATGAGAAATCCAAATTGGCCCTTCCCATGATTTCTTCTGCCTGTCCAGGTATACCTATACCTGACATCGTCCTTTTTTTTTTCTCTTTTTTTGGGAAATGAAAACAATTTTATTCATCAGAACTGTAAAGATTTTACAAAGTAGTAGCTGATACCTGTACATCATGCAATATCAAACTAGTTTCCTATACTGATTGTAGTATTTACAAAGGAATTATCAAGTACAATTGAAACAGTTAAAAGTAATGCCCCGCTCTAGCAGCAAGTTCGAGTTGGTCTTGGTTTTAGGAACTCCTCGCCAAGTAGATCCTATTAATCTCAACTCATCAATAATAGCAGCCATTTTGGTATGTGAAGATGCAAAGCCCCAACACCCTAACATCGTAATAGCAGCCATTATGCCTAACACCCTACTTCTTATTGACTTTTATTCTGTTATTAGCATAGACACCTAGATATCTATAGTTCTACTGAGCATCAAAATGTGAACAGATTTTGGGAGCTACTGCTTTGTCTCTTTGCTTTCTCTTTCTTTTGTTGTATTTTTCTCATTTTTAAGTGCCTGCTGAGTCTTTATGTGTCTGTTATATGATTATGATTGTTCATTCTTTAAGTGCAGGTTGGATATGCTATGCTGAAAAAACTCTTGGATCATATATTTTGCCATATATTTCATCAGTCAAGAGCCCTCAACAAACCATTGGAGCTATTATTAAGAACCATATCTGTCAGATGCTATGCATAAGGTAATATACTATATGCATACTGAAAATCTGGCCATTATTTGTCTTAATTACTTGACCCTTTTGTACTCACAACTTGGCTAGTTACTTGACCATTGCCATGAAGTTTAGGGTTGAACTCTTTTTAAGACAACTTCCAGATATGGGGATAAGATTATATACGATATGCAAGCTACTTTATGCATCCATCTCTTATTTCGAATAATTACCCCGTTTGCACTTGAAATGTGGAACAGTGGAATAGTCATTTAAGTGTTGCTATGAAGCTTCTGATTGTGATCCTCTAAGACAACTTCAGATATATATGGTGCCATCACTTCCTTCCCAGGTTAAACTGCACATTTAGAGGTCCTAACATAATGGTGTTTTGATGGTCTAGTTACATATTTTTTAACTGCTGTGCTGGTTGCGGAATATGTACAACATTGACTGATTTGGTTGATCTGTGTGGAGTGACATGATGATTAGATATTGGATGGACAGAGATTATATCCGAATGGTTCGTTATGTATATTAAATTTCACTGTTGACATTGATTTGTTCATGACAGGCCGGAGGATATATACCATGTAACAGTGATGCCATGTTATGACAAGAAACTCGAGGCTGTTAGAGATGACTTTGTTTTCAAGTTGAAGCACAAGGTGAAAAGATGACAGAGGTAGATTCAGTGTTGACAACGGGAGAGTTGTTAGATCTGATAAAGGTAATTTAAATTTTTTCCCAGTGGTAAAGTGGGCTAGGTGCGCCAAGGGAAAATATACCTTTCCAAGATAGAATTAAAAAGAAAAAAAGGATAGAATTTAACCCTGTTGTTGGTGGCATTGTTTGTTAGTTGGAACAATGGTTCTGTCTTCCCTTTCCCACTTTGTCCATGCTCCATCACTTCTTCAAAAACATATCGTCATGTGTTTGTGGTTTTGTAGCTTTTTTCTCCTCCTGGAAAGCAGGTGGTTGTGGAGTGTCATAATTCATTCACATGATTTATGTGTTGACTTTTGCAGTGAGGTCAGTTGATTTTGCAAGCTTAGAAGAGTCTCCTTTGGACAAATTGTAAGAACACTTGTCACTGTTATCAAGTTGTTTTGCTCTGCAAGAGCAGTCATTAACAATACTAGCTTTTTGTTCCTACAGATTAGCGAATGCTGCTGAAGGCGGCCACCTTTATGGCGTCCATGGAAGCTCTGGAGGATATGCAGAGATAATATTTCGTTACGCTGCTAAAACTCTTTTTGGCAAGGAAATTGTTGGTCCTCTCAACTTCAAGACTATAAGGAATTCTGACTTCAGAAGTGACACTTGAAGTACGTCCTTCCTTTTTATCATGTTTGCTCTCACCAAGAAATAGGAAGACTGCGTCCTTTCTGATATTTTAATATCTATTAGACTTGTAGCACTTGCATAGGCATCTGGAGTCTCACTATCCTATCAGGAGCTAATTGATCGACACCTCTTTAGATAGATGAACATTTCTTGTGAACCGCATCTCTTGTTGAGTTAGTACCCAATTGTGTCTAGATACTTAGAAGTTCTTCCAT